CCCCGCCCCCGCCGCCCCGGGGCCCGCCCCCCCCCCCCCCCCGTCCTCAGGGAGTCCCCTCTGGTACCCTGGAGTGACCTCGTACCACAGGGTTTCAGTCTTAAACTGAGTCTGTCCCCCATCCTCAGGGGGTCCCCTCTGGTACCCTGGAGTGGCCTCATACCACACGGTGTCAGTCCTAGCCTGCCCCCTGTCCTCAGGGGACCCCTCTGGTACCCTGGAGTGCACAGCAATTCTCTCTGGGGTCTGAGGCAGTCTCTATCCCCTCCACAGTGAGTCACAACTCTCACATAGCCCATGAGACCATCCCCTGCCCTGCCCCAAGCAGGAGGATGAAATTCTGACCTTGTAGGGCTGCCTCCCTCCTCCCCCACCCCCAGGGCAGTATCATTCCCAGCTCTCCAGACTGGAGGAGGCCCTGCCTCTCCAGGGGCTGTCGGGCCCTCCTTAGCCTCCTAAGGAGCTTATGAAGGAATCCAAGACGCCCAAGGCTGCAGGATTGTTGTCTAACCAGGGACTGGCCTTTTGGGTCAGCTTAACAAGCATCCATTTGAGGACCTTATGCGTGTTGCCACTGAGCTCACAGTCTGGTGTGAGGATGCAACACCCACCCCACAAAGGCAAATGTCACACACGAGGCCATTGGAGAAGGACTGGAGGCTGGGGGGAGGTGGGGTGGCCCCTCTCATTTTTGATCCTGACTAGGGGCAGGGGCAAGGGAGTGAGGGGGGCTTCCTGGAGGAGGTGGCATTTGGGCTAGGTGTTAAGGGGCAGGGAAGAGCTGAGCAGGTGGGCAGGATGCTCTAGGTAATGGAATGGAAGGACTACATACTGAGGTGGGAAAGCCCTGCTCCCAATAAGTCACTGGGTTGGGCTGAAACACTGAGGACCCAAAGAGGGGCCTTACAAAATAAAGCTCGAGGGGGATGGGGGAGGAGCCAGACTGGGGAGGGCCTTGAATGACACCTCCAGTTTTTCTACTTTATTCAATAGATAATGGTAGGGGTGAGGGAAAGGCAGAGGAATCCTGAAATCAGAACTGCCTGCGAGCGAAATCTGGCAGAAGTGGGCAGGCCAAGGTGGGGTGGAGACAGGGAAGGCCTGGCTTCTACCAGGCCAGCGGGTGGAAGGGGCCTGAGTTAGCCCAGGAGCAGCGGGAACAGGAGCGGAGGGTTCCTGATGGAGGAGACTGCAGGGGGCAATCCACAGAACTAGAGACAGAAAACACTGATCTTTAGGACTCGGGCCCTGGAATGGGTGGGAGCTGCCATGAACAAGCAGCCGGGAATGACCCAAAGCTGGGATGGAGGGACCTGCCTCATCTGGAAGCAGGATGCAGACTCCCCTCCATGGTGAGACCTGTGGAGCCCCAGGAAGCCATGCCCCTGCCCCCCCAATCTGCCAGGCAAGACTGGTAGACTGGCTGTGGTAGGCATGACCTCAGAGCTCAGAAGACCACAGGACTAGAGCTGAAGGGACTCCAGAGGCCAGGCCTTCATTTTACAGATGAGGAAACTGAGTCCCACAAAGGTGAGGTGAGTGGTTGAACCTCACACAGCTAGAACATGGCAGTATTTGAACCCAGGTCCTCTGACCCCACGTTGTTTGCTTTCCACTTGCCCCATGGCATTGGGTCCAACCTCCAGCCCCACTTTGGTGAGCCCTCAGGGCCACCTCTGCCCAGTGGTTCTTAACGGTAGCTTGGACTGTGAGCGCACCTCAGAAACGAGATGGAGGGGGGAGGGGGACAGAGACCAGGTATCCCTCCTGGGGCCAGACCTTGAGCATCCCCATTCCCAGGCCTCTGCCCATTTGGGAGAGCTTACTTACTGCTCTGGGAATCCCACTTCCTCCTTCTTGATCTTCTGGTGGAGGGCCAGGATGGAGTCATCAATGAAAGGGCACTGGAAAGCAGAGATGGGCTTTAGGAGGGGCCATCTGGAGACAGGATGCGAGATGAGGGTGGGGGAGGCTGCCAGCATCCACAGCCTGAGTGTGACCAGGGTAGGGGACAGCTGAGGCTGAAGAGGGGACATCTACAGAATGACAGCTACCTGGAGAAGGCACTGAGGGCGAGGCAGGAGCCAAAGAGCTGCTGGGGGTCTCCAGCCTGCAGGATCAGGGGAGAAGCCAGGCAGCTGGGACAAAGGGCAGGTTTGAGAGGGAGGGCATGGGGTCAGTGTGGAGATGACTAGGTCAGAAAAGTGGGGATGAAGGGCTCTCTGGAGCAGTGAAAAGGAGGGAGAGAGAGAAGGAAGGAAGGAAGGAGGGAAGGGAGGGGGGAAGGAAGGAAGAAAGGAGGTAGAAAAAAAGAGGGAGAGAGAGAAGGAAGGAAGGAGGGAGGGAAGGAAGGAAAGGTGGGAGGGAGGAGGAAAGTGAGGGAGGGAGGAGAGAGGGAGGGAAGGAAGAAGGAGGAAGGAAGGGGCAGTCTCTGTCTGCCCTGGCTTGGTCACTCTCTATTACACAGGGCAAGCCCCCAGGGGGCCCAGCTGGGAAGGTGGCACAGCTGTCCTTGGCCCTACCCCTTCTCCCTTTGCCTGGACCCCACCCCATATGCACAAACTGTGATTTATACTGGGAGGAGGTCTTAGAGGGATTGAATGAACTTATCTTTCAAGAGAGGGGGCAGGGCTTAGCTCCGAGAGAGGGCGAGCCAATGGCTTCATGCCAGGCACGAGGCATAGATCTGTGTGGGCACGTTCTATCCTTACATGTGGCTGCCCTGGCTGGGTGACCACCTATGAAGTGGGGGGAAGGGAGGCGCAATGGGCCTCCTGCATTGGAGATGAGATGCGTGCACGCACTCACCTTCCCGTAGACAAAGCAGTACAAAGTGATGCCCGTAGCCCAGACGTCCAGGGCCTGAAAGAGAGCAGAGAGTCAGGGTGACGACCTGGGCCAGAAGCAGGCAGGTGGAGGAGGGGAGAGATTCAGACGGCGGCTGCCGGGGGAGAAAAGGGAGGATGTGGAAGGGGAGGAAGAGAAGAGAGGGGGCCTGGCCGGAGCTCTGGAGGGCAGTCAGTCACTGGGCATTTATTAGGCACCCACTGTGTGCACGTTAGGCACTGTGCTAAGCGCTGAGGTCATAGAGAGGCCTGGACAACGGCGAGAAAGGCAGAAGAGGAACCCCTGGAGGGGGAGGAGGCGAACCTCGGAGGCTGGGGAAGGGCAGTGCCCATGGGCATTGGGTGTGTGCCAGGGTCCCCAGTGTTTGCCTTCGAGTCACCCACCAGCCTGGCAGAATGGCGAGGGCCGTGGGTCCCCCTTCTCCTCTGCCCTTGCATGTGGGCATGGTGGCAAGTTGCTTCATCTTTCTGTCCCTCAGTTTCCATGACCATACCCCCTGCTCAGCCTCTCTTCCAGGGCTACCAGTAGACATTCCTACTGGGCTGCAGGCCCCCAGGGATGGAGCAGGCTTGGCTCACCTCTGTGCCGCCCACCCCCTCCCCAATCCCCACACACGGGATTCTCGGGGGAGGGGAGCTGGGGAGGAAGGAGGTAGGCAAAAGCCTGTCTTCTCCAGGCAGCGCTGCCAAGAGGTGGGTGGGGTCGGGGAGGAGGGGGAAGTTGTAGGCGTGGAGACAAATGGTCTTTGGCATCCCCTCTCAGGCCTCAACCCAAGGTCCATCCCAGGCTATTGCCCCGAAGGCCTTCCAGCCCCGGCTCTTTAAATTCTAATTTGGCTGGGGCCCCCTGTATTCATGGCCTGGGCTCAGGCACCCACCTTTCCTCTGAAGCTCTGGCCCGAATCAGAGATGGTCTCTGGGGCCATGAAGGCCGGGGTTCCCGCAGTGCTGGACAGCTGGGCGTCGTTCCCTTCAAACTGATTGCTGACCCCAAAGTCCGCGATCTTCACGTGGTCATCGTCCCCCAAGAGTAGGTTTGATGGCTTGATGTCTCGATGAATGATCTTCTGGTAATGCACTGCAGGGAGAGGAGAGAGAAGAGTCAGGGCTTGCAGGGACAGATGGCCTGGGCAGCTGGTCAGGGGCATCTGCTCCTGGGCTGACTATCCCAGGGCCTCCGATGGAGCCAGAGTGTGCCTGAGGCGTGATGAGGGGAGAGCGTGGAAACTGCCTTCTGGGATGAGGAAAGCCTCTCCACACAGGGACCTCTCCATTGTGGGGAGAGCTGAAGGAGCTGAAGGCCTGTGTGAAAATGAGCCAAGCCTCTCTCTGTGCCCTAGCACTGACGAACGCTGCCCCTCAGGCTCGGCCCAGCTGCACCCATCTAGGGCGCCAGTCCAGAGCACCATCAGGATGACCTGCGCTCCTAGGCTGCTGATCCCTAGTGGCTGGCAGCTGTCCACAAACTCCCTGACTTCCTGGGCCCACAATTGGGGAGAAGCCCCCACCTTTGGCTCTCTGCCTTCTCCAGGGTTCTGGGACCTCGGACCCAATCCTCTCTCGGACTTATGCTCCGAAGGCCAAGATCCCCAATCCCAGAGACCACCGAAGCCATCTAGCCCACCTGTCTCCTCCCCCTGGGGGAGCCTGCTTCCCCACCCAGGAACTGCTCCCCTGCCAGGACAGCTAAATGGGCTCCTGCTCCCGGTCAGTCCAGAGCCGGAGAGGCCCTCAAAGGTCACCAGGGCCAAGCCCCTCACTTCACTGATGAGTCAAAAATCCAAGGCCCCAGGGGTGCCCAAGGTCACCCAAGCGCAACATTTGAATGCAGAGTCCCTAGCGCCAGGGATCTTTTCATTGTGAGCTTTTCTGTCTGGGGCCAAGCACAGCTAAGCTGAGCCCTCCTTCTGATGGGTGAACACAGCTTTCATGTTCCTTGAGGCCTCTCTTTTCTGAGTCCCCTGTGGCATGGCCTGCAGGCCCCTCACCCTTCTCCAGACCCTTTCCAGACCCTCTCCAGATTGGCAGTGGCCTTCCTGCCCTGTGAAGGCCCCCAGATGGGTCTGAGCAGGGACTCCCCCCACCACTTTTCCCACATGGACCTCTGGGTCGCCCATGACACCATGAGCTCACTCTTCTTTGCTCTGTGCCCAGGGGAAGCCAGGACAAGTGGGCTTTAGGCTGCTGGGCTAGGGCTGCACATAAAGGGAGACCTTCAAGGTCACAGCCAATGGCCAGGTCACATGACCAAAGGGCTAGGTCCTAGACCCTTTCTCCAACCCTCACGACCTCTCAAACCTCCCCCAAAACTGGAATTATGCACAAGAGGTAGAACGATGTCAGCTGCTCCCACAGACAAGATAAAACCTGATGCACAGAAACAAGATCGGCCATCTTTACGCCCTCACAGGCTCACTCAGCACCCTCTCCTCCACTGCCCACCATCGCAGGCTGCCCCGACCCATGGGCTTGCACCCCATCCCGAGCACCAAGGAAACAAAAAGCAGCAGAAGCTGGAACAGGCCACAACAGAGCTCAGCCAGAGAACTCAGGAGCAGATCCATGTGGGAGCGTCCGGTGCTCCGCTTGGCCCAGGGGAAGAGTCCGGCATCCCACTGAGGACGGCTCTGTCCCCCCAGAAGCCCTCTGGGGATGGTGAACTGGGGATTGCCCCACTCGAGAAGGCATTGTCATGCTCTAAGATCCAGCCTCTAGGGAAACTGCCATCAAAAGGGAAGGAGTCACAGAGTGAGCAATAGGGGAATAGAAGGCCAGACTGAAGTTACCAGAGATTTCGGGAGGAAGAAGGCTCATTTAAAGGCCTTGAGCATAGACCAAAAGGGAGGATATTAATACCACAAAGGAATATGGCCTCCGGATCAGGAAAAAGAATGTGGATGTTGATGATAAATACTGCGAGTCAAAGGAAAATGAATCAACATCTAATGAGATTCCCAAGAGACTGTGGAACCATAGCAGGATAAACCTGAAAGGTTTAAAAGAGAAATAAGAATTGTGAACTGTGCTTAGGGGAAAAGATGAGCAGAAGAGAAAAACTGCAAGTCTCACCAAAGAAGTGAAGGATTGGAGAGAGAGCTGATTGGGAACGCACATTCAGAAGTGGAGAAGCATCCAGGAGAAGAGGAAAAATCCAGCCGGGTCAGAAGAGACCATGATCTCCATATGATCAAAGCGCGCTCATCTGTAAGCCCGGCTGCCCTGAGACAAGCTAAGGGTCGCTGGTCTCCCAGAACACAAGTGAAAAGCAAAACAAAGCCTAAACATCACATGCAAGTAAACTGTTGAGCTTTTCTAAACACAGAAAGCAAAGTGCAGATCCAAAGAACCCCCAGGTGACCTGGAGGGTCAACGTTACCATGCGCAGACTAGGGAACTCTTTGCGGGGCTTCAACTTCCCTGTGCCACACCGAGGTGGACACGTTGCTCGGTCACACAGCTAGTAAGTGTCTGAGGCTGGATTTGAACTCAGGTCTTCCTGACTTCAGGCCCAGCGCTGTTTCCACAGGGCCATCTAATCGCCTCTCTAGTGGGAAGGGGCGCTAGGTGGCCCCATTGTGCAGAGTGCTGGATGTCAGGAAGACTTGAGTTCAAATCCAGCCTCAGATGCTTACTAGCTGCGTGACCCTGGGCAAGTCACTTCACCCGATTTGCCTCAGTTTCCTCATCTGCGAAGTGAGTTGGAGAAGGATGTGGCAGACCAGTATCTCTGCCAAGAAAACCCAAACGGGGTCACGACTGAAAAGCTACTCAACAACAATAGCAAAAACAGTGGAAAGAACAGGGAGTCAGAGGCCCTGGGTTCAAGTCATGGCTGTGGTCACGGACCAGTCATTTCTAAAGTCTCAGTTTTCTCATCTGTAAAGCGGGGATCACCTCAGAGGGTTGTTGTGACCCAGCCTTCCCCTGACTGGCTTCCCCTTCCTCCCTTTTCCCCCTGCAGGGCAGGGTGGGGAGCAGAGCCCCTTCTAGCCCCCAGCGCTGACCCTCCCCAGCTGGAGCCCAGGGCTCGGCAAACAGGAGAGCCTTCCCCACGGCCAAAGCCCCTGCTTTGTACCGGCCCCAGGAATTCAAAGGCCACCGTGAAAACAGGCCCTGCCTTCAGGGAGCTTCTACTCTGGGGGAGGAGGAGCCAGGAGGGAAGGAACCTGCATAGTCAGGCTGGCCAGTCCACCCATTTTACAGATGAGGACCCGAGGGCCGAGGGAAGTGGCTAGCTCGAGGCCATACAGGGAAGAGCCCAAGCTAGCATCTGGAGCCAGATCCTTGGACGGCAGACGGGCTCCGTGGCAGCATCCTAGCTGTGCCCGTCCCAAAGCTGTGGAATATTGAAAGGGGAAGAGAGATCAGGGATGGCTGGGCCCGGGGCAGTGGCCGCTGAGCAGGAGGGACCTTCAAGGAAGCAAAAGAGGAATTCAGAGGCGCAGAGACAAAGCATCCTAGGCACGGGAGACAGCTTGTGTTAATTAATGTAAGGAGGTGGGACATGGCAGGTCAGGGTCCTTTCTTCTCCATTCTCTATGGCACCTCACTGGTTCTCAATACAGACTGGCTTATTTCACTTCGGGTGAAGCAGAATGAACGTGCTGCCATGAGAGGTAATGAGCTCCCCATTGCTGAAGGTCTCTTTGAATGGCCAACAGCAGGGAGGCTGGAGGGGTCCTTTGTTCAAGGCCTGGGGCACTGACATTGCCCTGAGGCTGCTCTGACCTCCGGGACTGGCCTTCCTCATTCTTCCAGTTCTGGGGGCAGTATTCAGGTTGCCATCCTCGCCCCCGGGTAGCCACACCAGCCCCAGCAGCTCCCTGCTTTTCACTCCCTGGTCCTCAAGGACTTTGGATCCTGGTGCCATCTCCCGCCCCCCTCCTCCAGGAAGCCTCCCTGTCGGTCTGCTGGCGGCTCCTTCCTCAGGGCTAAGTGGGCGCAGAGCACTTATTCCTGGAGGTCACTTGGGGACTGTGTGCCCTGGGCTGGGCAGCTGGCTGTCCTCTCCCCCAACTTGCTATTGTTCTGCTGCTCCTGGCTGGGAGCCCACGTGTTGCCAAAGCCACACGCAGACTGCCTGGGCTTCAAGCCATCTCCACCTCTTGTGCCTCCTCCAGCTTGGGCTGCCGGGCTCTCAGACCCCCACGCACGTCTGCTTTCCCGGCTCTGAGCTTGTATGGAATCAGGGCCCAGGAGTGGGTGGGCTCTGGAAATACCTCTGCTCCCTGGAGAATCAGCAGCCCGAGGGGCGAGGCTTGGAACTGTCGTGGGGGGAGAGCGGGCTAATGGCGATGAAGCCCTCACAGTCCCCCATCCTTATCTGGGGCCATGAAGCCCTTGGGGGGTTATCGAGGATAAGCTACTGATGCCCAGGCCAGTGGTGGCACCAAGCTGAACAGGAACACTCGGGGGGGCATGGTGTGTGTGTGTAGGAGGGGGGAAGAGAAAGAGAGAAGGAGAGGGGAGAGAGACAGACAGAGAGATCAGGGCGTGGCAGAGGACAGGCACCGCATGGCCACAGCCCGAGGCCAGGCACACGGCCTTCCCAAGCCAAGCTTCGGCTGGCACTGAGGACAGCCCTGGGCCTGGTACGAGATGCCCTTGTCCTCGGGGCCTCTTCGATGCAAGGCTTCGGGACCATGACACTCATCCAACTGGTTTTCCCACAACTGAATCTAAGCCCCGAAGGCTTCCGTGCTTGGCCCCTAAAAGTCAGTCTGTGCCAGACACATAGGGACAAAGCCCCGCCGCTGACCATTGGGTCTTACCTCCTCAGGCATTATTATCCACAGATTGTCTCAGCTGAGGTCCTCCTCACACCTCCCCAGTTCCTCCAGCTGACCTGCCCTCTGGCCGGAGGGCTGGGGAGAGTCCCCCCCATCTATGGATCCGAGGCTTCCAATCCCCAGCCCTCTCGTCACTCCCCGCCAGCTGCTCCGTTTGGTTTCCTCGGAGAGACCCTCTGGCGGCCCCCACCTTTTCAGCCTCTTTTTGGGCATGGGGGATCCTGCGGAGCAGGGACTGCCTGGTTTGTACCCCCGCGGCTTAGCCCGGGGGCCTGGCTCATCGCTGGTGCTTAATCCTGTTTCCTGGGCATTGACTAAACGTTTCTGGAACCAGGCTGTTTTCTCTTTGGGAATCCCAATTGTGCTCAGCTCAGCCCTGTCAACAGGCTGGCTGGTCCTCACTCCGGATCACCATGCCCGCACTCCCCTGGCTGGTCCACAGACTTCCAGAAGGGGAGGCTTTTTGGAGACAGCCCCCATCACTTGTCTGATCTGATACCTCCAATGGCCTGGGACGCCCCAGTCCAGATTCCTAAACCCTTCCACTCTGGGCTTCCCTGGCACCGGTCTCGCCTGGTACTCTCCCACAGGGCTGACCGCTCCTTCTCAGGCTCCCGTTTTGGACAATCATCCATATCCCACCCACCCCAGCCAGGATCATCCCCCTCTGCTCTGTCCTGGCCCCTTCATCCTTCCTCCCTGCTCTCCCTGCCCTTTTCCCTTTCTTGGTATGCCCAGTGCTTGATACGGTGCCTGGAACATAGTAGATGCTTCATAAATGCTCATTGATTTACAGACACAACGTACATACAGCAGTAAACAAAACAATGTCAAGAGTGCCAATGATGATGGGGGGAGGGGTGTGGTTGTGTGTGTGCGCACGTGTGTGTGTGCGCACGTGTATGTGTGTGAAAAGCCTCAGGCAGAAAGTGTTCCAGGAGCTGGGCTTTGAAGGAAGCCTGGCACTGGCAGAGGTAAAGGGGAGAGGTCTGCATCCCAGATGTGGGAGATCACTTGGGGCAGCTGCTGACGTAGTGAATGTAGAGCTGAGCCTGCAGTTGGGTAGACCTGAGTTCAAATCTGACCGTTGTCACCCTGGGCAAGTCACTTCACCTCTGTCTGCCTCAGTTTCCTAAAATGGAGACAATAACGGCACCTGCCTCCCACGGCTGTTTTGAGGATCAAGTGAGATTGTACCAGTGACGGGCTTAGCGCTGCGCCTGGCACACTGCTTGTGCCTACGGACACTCTTGGGGCAGAGAGAAGGCTCACTGTAGAGTGCAGGCTGCTCTGTGTAGATGGCTACAGGACGGAGGAGGCAGCTGGCTGTACTGCCTTTCACTTTGGCTCCCTTCTCCCTGACTGGCACAATGGATGTCACGCTAGGCTGGAGATCAACAAGCTTCCACCTGCTCCTGACTTCCTGAGGACACCTGGACTAGTCACTTGGCTAATCTGCGCCTCAGTTTCCCCATACCAGTCATTTGTCCAGCCTGCCAGGGAGGTCACAGCTCAGAAAACAAGGGGGATGGCATTCATTAGGGTGGCACAAACTTCAAACAAATGCCATGGGAGGAGGGAGTCAGCTGTCCAGCCAAAGCCCAGCTGCTCCTCAGCAGAGAGGGCAGACGGGCATCACTCTGCTGGGGACAAGCGCCCTCCCCGGCCCCTCCCCCAATGCCCTCCCCAGCTCAGGCTACTCACAGTACTCCAGGCCCAAGACAATGTCCCGCAGGTAGGGCCAAGCTTGCTCCTCAGTGAAGGGGTCGTCACAGGGCACCTCCATGATGGGGCTGCAGGGGACAAGGGACCCTGTGAGCTTAAATGGAGGACAGCAAAGGCCGTCAAATTAGGACCTGCAGCTAAGGTCCTGTTGGCTCAAGTCCCTGTGGCTGCTCTCTCCCATGTCCTTAGAGGAATGTGTAGGGCCCGTGGCAATCTCTCTCTCTCTCTCTGTGTCTCTCTCTGTCTCTCTGTCTCTCTCTTTCTGTCTCTCTCTCTCTTTCTGTCTCTCTGTCTCTCTCTGTCTCTCTCTCTCCTCTGTCCCTCCTCTCTCCCTCTCTCTCTCTCTTTTTCTGTCTCTCTCTTTGTCTCTCTCTCTCCTCTCCTCTTCTCTCTCTCTCCTCCTCCTCCTTCCTCTCTCTCTTCTCCATCTCTCTCCTCTTCTCTCTTCCTCCCCCCTTTCTCTTCCTCCCTCTCTCTCTCTCTCTCCCTCTGTCTCTCTCCCTCTCTCTGTGTCTCTCTGTCTCTGTCTCCTCTTTGTCTGTCTTTCTCTCTGTTTTCTCTCTCTCCTCTCTCTGTCTCTGTCTTTGTCTCTCTCTCTCGGTCTCTCTGTCTCTCTCTCTCTCCCCTTGTCTCTCTGTCTCTCTCTTTCCCTCTCTCCCTCCCTTTCTTCCCCACCCTGTCCTATCTAACACCTTATTTCTTCATTTCCCAGGACATCCTGGCTTACACATTTTTTATTCACACAATGGACCTCAGAGGCCTGCGTGCTGTGAGGCAGACCAGACCCATATCTCACTGAAAGTCCTCTTCATGTATCCCCTCAAGGGCTTCTTCAGCCCCTGCTTGCAGACTTCCAGGAGGTGAGGGGGTCACTACCCCCTGAAGCCTCCCATCCCCCTCTGGAGCATCTCTCCTGGCCAGGGAGCTGTTCCTGCCCTCTGGCCCCAGTTGGCACCATCCCCCCACCCCTGGTTCTGCCCTCTGGGCCCTCTTTCCTTCTAATCTCAAATACATGAAGGTGCTGTTCTGCCTTGCAGTCTTCCTTTTCCTGGCCAAACCGCCTGCCCCCTCTTCCTACAGCTGACCATGGGCAGCAGGGCCTACAAGCCCCTGGCAGCTACACTGGCCTCTACCTCCTTGGTCCTGCCTCAAACATGGCAGCCCCAAGTAATACAGAGTTGGATTTCCTAACAGACTGGACCCTAGACCGTAAGGAAGAGACTGAAAACTAAACAGGCTGAATCATCGGTCGACTTCTGGGGCCCTCTGCTCTGGCTGGCCTGGGTCCCCTGGCTGTGGTCACTGTAACCTCTGCCTCCTCCAGGGGACCTTCCATGATCCCGTGGCTGAGCCCTCCCTGCTCCCCCCATGCTCTGGGAGGGGTGGGGGTGTGACTGTCCTTGCTGACTGGCCTGGAGTTCATGGGTGGTGAGTAGGGGGATTAAGGAGCTAGTTGGCTACTTACCCCTTTTGGAGCAGGTCAAACACTGGAAAGAAAGTAGAAGAGATCGTGACGTCCCAAGCCCAGACATGGGGACAGTCCCACAAGCCCCACGCCCGCCCCACCCCCCCAGGCCCCTCCAGGGCAGAGAAAGCACTGGCTCAGACTCCAGGCTGCCTGATGGCCTGGGCCAGCCACATCGTCTGCTTGAGCCTCTGTGCGCCTGTATAAAGAGGGAGGGGGCTGGACTTTCTGGCCTCTACAATGGGGTTCTGTGAGTCTTAGGTCTCTCTGGCTTCAGTTTCCTCATACGTAAAATGATGTGCTATGCTAAGTCAGAGAGACTCCTGCACTGTCTACAACCATGTGTACAGTTGCACACAGAGGAGTGCCTCACTAATCCAGAATCCATCTGGTAACCTCATCTACCCAGAATGGAATCAGGAAAAGTCCCCAGTGTTTGTGTTGAGGCCTGAGTTCTTCCGGTCTGGAAGAGCCTCAGTCTGGCGGTCTATTAGAATCTCCATTTTACAGGTGAGCAAACTGAGACTTGCTCAGGCTGCCTGAGGCAGGATCCTGCCCAATCCTCCAAGAGCCCAAGCCCAGCCTCCCTGGCTGCCTTTTCCCAGGCCCAGAGCCCCTCCAAAGGAGCCCGGCAGCCAGGGAGGACTGAGAGGGGCCAGGCAGGGCCAAGCCTGCTGTTTGGAGCTAAATGGCTTAGGATCTGACCCCACACAGCAGGGACGACTCAGCTCTTATCTGCCACATCCCTGTGGGGGGCTGGGGCTCTTTTCTCCCACCCCACCCCAGCTTGTCTTACTCAAAAAGTAAATCCGCCATTCCCCTCGCTACTGTCCAGGGCAAGAAACCAAGATGGCACTCACCCATGTAGAGATTGTCCTCAGCGGGGTCATCCAGGACCTGTCCAGAGAGGAAGCGCCATCAGCAGGAGAGATGCCAGTGTCCACTCAACCCAGGGGACCAAGGGGGAGAGGGGATGGAGGGGAGGCTGGCAGCATGGGGGAGGGGGAGAAGGACAGTGTGGGAGAGGGGATGGAGGAGAAATAACAGTATGGGGGAGGGGAGGATGAAAGCCTGGAAAGGGGATGGAGGAAAGGAGGACAGTGGGGAAGGGGATGGAGGGGAGGAAGGCGGTGGGGGGAGGGGGGAGGAGAGATTAACAGCATGGGGAAGGGGGAGAAGGACAGTGTGGGGGAGGGGGAGGAGAGGATAATAACATGGGGGAGGGGAGGATGAAAGCCTGGAAAGGGGATGGAGGAAAAGAGGACAGTATGGAAGAGGGGAAGGAGGGGAGGAAGACAGTGTGGGGGAGGGGATAGAAGAGAGGATGGCATCATGGGGGAAGGGAGGACAGTGTGGGGGAGGGGAGGATGGAAGTGTGGAGGAACTGGGGAAAACGTTGGCCTGGAAGGGTGGAGGGAATTCCCTTCTCTGGAAGTTCCCAGTAACAGGGAAATCATAGGCTGAGGCTCTAGTCCTAGAAGGAACCTGGAGGTCGATAAGGATGGAGAAGATGGAGAACATCCCCCTTCCCCAGGTGGATGAAGGGAACAGGAAAAAGGAACTGGGCAAAGAGTGTAGGAGAAGAGATGGGGGTGAGGGCTAGTGAGGAGCCCCCAGTAACCAATGACCTATGGTCTTTGGTGTCAAGGGTTGGAGGGTCTCCCCAGCTTTGTGGCTGCTTCCTCTAACCACCAGCCATCCCCAAGGCTGCCAGGAGCCCCAGGGCACCCATCCCCCAGCTGTGAGGGGTCTTCTGGGGAGCCATGGGCCAAGACTCCCTCCAACCAAGGCTGCCTTGTCTGCCCTGTCCCCGGTGTGTGAACTCACCTCGATGAGTTTTACGATGTTCACGTGGTCCAACTTCTTTAAGATGGCAATTTCCTGATAGACCCGATCCAGGGGTGCCAGGGGTACAGTCTGACCACCCATAGCAGCTTTAGATCCTCGAGGGGGAGGGCGACCTACCAAGAGAGAAAAGGAACCCAGAATCACATGAGGGTTACAGGTGTTTGCTCAGAAAAGGCAGAGGCAGAGAAACCTGGGGACAGGGTGCCCCCGACCAAAGACTAACCTGACAGCAAAACCTGCTGAAGGCTCCTAGAGCTGCCACAGGCACCCCACCTGACCCCAGCCTCTGCCTGGTGGTCCCCAAGGGGCCACCCAGCCTCTGCCCAAGAAACCCTCCAGTTTGTCCCTGCCCCCCCGCCTCAGCCTCCCTTCTTTGGCCGCTCTAAGCATCGGGAAGCGTAGTTCTTCAATTCTGTTAGGAAGGTTTTCTAGATATCTGGCCCCAGCCAGCCTCCTTGTAGCAAGCACCACACACACACACACACACACACACACACACACTCACACGCGGCCCTTCAGATGCATGAAGACAGTTCCCCAGTTCCCCCTCAGCCTCCTTTTCTCCAGGCAAGGGGCCTCCCAGCTCCCTGCCAGCATGGTGGCTCCCCTCCTTCCTGCATGCCCCCCTCTCTCTTGCTCTTCCCTAAGCCTGGGGGCTTCTAGAGGGAGCTGCCCATTCAGCTCAGGGATCACAAGGGATCCCCTCCTCCATCTTGTTCTTCTGTTCTTTCAATGAGGGTCGCCCACCTGGGCCTGGAACACCCCAGGGCCAGAGGCTGAAACTCATATTTCTTTGTGAATCCCCTCTGCCCAGGGACCATGAGGGTGTACACAGTGATCACGAGTTAGGAAGATGGAGTTATGGGGTGAGCTGATCTGTGCCTTGGGTAGACACCCAGAACAGCGGGGAGGTGGATGGGCCACCACGTGGGGGCATCTAACCCAGATTCTCAGACCTCCCCAGCTTCCCTTCCATCCCCAGGATGGACAGGGTGGGAGAGTGCTGACAGTGTCACTGGTCAAACCCTAGACAACCCCTTTCTTGGAGACCTTCCAAGGGGTGACAAAGGGGATGGCAGAGGAACCCCTGAGCTTCCCTTCCCCAGGACAGACATCGGCCAGGGAGTTGCAAGGGCGGAGGGATCCAGGAGTCTGGGGTGGGCCCCAGGGGCCCTGGGAGCTGCAGTGGGGCTCCCTCCCTCACAGAATTGAAGATGGGGCATGTGCTGGGTCTGGAAGAATGGGGAGAGAGCGCTCCTCAGCTGACTTCCTAGCAGGGGTAGGTGAAGGGTGGAGGCAAAGGCCCCTGTCCTCAGACAAGATCCTGGGCTGGGGCCAGGTCCCCAGGTCCCAACCCCGAACCTCTCTCCTCCCCCACCCCACCTCCCTGCTCCCCCAGAGACACAAGCAAAGGTCCCAGTTCCTTGGGTGGGGCCTGGTTATTGTTGGGGAGGGAAAGAAAGCAGGAACTGTCTTTGTGCAACTGTGCTGAGGACAAGGAGGGAAGGTGAGGCAGAAGGCAGCCCAAAAGGCTGGGTGGGGGGCTGGAGGAGGGCTGAGGCCAGCTGGAGAGGGCCAGTAGGGGGCAGACCAGACGAGTTTGGCTTTGACTCGGTGGACAATGCACCATCCCAGGAGGCTTTGAAGTCATGGCATGAACGCAATGTTTGAAGGCCTCCCGGGATCCAGGGGCCTCCTCCTCTCTCTTACAATTTACAACAGGCTGTGGGAGACTGGACTGGGATGTCCCCCCTCCAGGGCTGGGGCATCAGAGATCTTGGGGGAGTCTCTAATCACCCTTTATTGTGGGCTTGGAGGCATCACCCTGAGAGGTGAGAGGATGGGGAGGGCCAGGAGAGGGTGAAGGGCTGGGTGGCCCTTTCGGAGAGGATCCCGTAACTGCTGGCTCAGTTCTGAGCAGGGGCCAGGCAGCGTGGAAACCATCAGCTGACCGTCTATCCTTCCCCCCTGACCTCGGCTCACCCACCTGCCCAGACATCTGCTCTGGCACAGCCCAAAGGGGAAGGCCAGGAGAAGCCAGCTCTCACTGCTCATCTCAGACTTCAGGGATAGCTGGGTTTCCCTGGACTGGGGGGTGGTCCAAAGCATCTCTCAGGAAGGATCCTAGACTATAGCCAGAAGGCTTTGCCCTCCCCCTTCCCAAGGCCCAGCAGCCTGGGGCAGAGGCCTGGGAAGCCTGGCGGTATCAGCCTCCACCCTCTTCCCCATGGGGACAGAGAGAGCCCCTGTTATCACCCCTGTTTCAGAGAAGGGGAAACAGGTTCAGAGGAGTTGAATGATCTGCTCAGAGTCACACACCTAGTGTGGAACAGACTTGAATTCAAGCCTTTAGACTGAGTCCAGAGCTCTTTTGATTACACCATGATGCTTTTCTAGGGGGTTTAAAACCCCAAATCAGCCTTGTGCCTTCAGCCTGGGTCCTATCCTAGGGACTCCCTAGAGAAGCCACCCAGAATGCTGGAGGCTTGGTGCTGGGGGAAGGGCCTCACTGGCCTGTTGGTGCTGGGGGGGCCTCACTGTGGCCTCTTGGTGCTGGGGGGAGGGCCTCACTGGCCTGTTGGTGCTGGGGGGGGCCCTCACTGGCCTGTTGGTGCTGGGGGGAGGGCGTCACTGTGGCCTGTTGGTGCTGGGGGCCTCACTGGCCTGTTGGTGCTGGGGGGCCTCACTGTGGCCTGTGCCTCTTTCCTGGCTATGCCCCTCCCAGGGATCCCCTCCTGGGCCTCTTTTTCCCATCCCACACTGGGGAGCTGCTGCTGCCTCTGCAGCACCCATGGGCATCCTCTCCAGGGCCCTGGTGTCCTGGGATCTAACTGGACAGCATCCCTGAGACACAGCTTTGGGGGGAAGGCCAGTAAAATTTCTGGGATCGTTGAAAGCAAAGAGAGCAGCTGTGGCCGTTCTACCCTGTGAAAGCCTCAAGGTCTGCCTCCTCCTGGCAGCCTTCCCAGACTGCCCCCAGTATCCTCCTAAAACTCTAGGATCTGTGTTTAGATTTGGTTGGGCAACTCATTGGCCAGCTCCTTCTGTTTGAGGCCCAGGGAGAAGTGACTTTCTCAAGGTCACAAAGTCAGGAAGCACCAGAGTCAGGGTTTGAATGCAGGTCCTAATGCACCACTGGCTCTTCTCCACCCCTAGGGGTACTCCTGCCATTCTCAATCACTGGACACTCTCAGGCCTCCCTGTGTTGTCAGTCTCAGAAAGGACCCAGGAGCCGAACCTGGAATGACCGAGGACCCCTTATCTACAACATTCTACATCATCCGGCCTCTGCTGAGCAACCCCCAGGGACAAGGAGCTCATTACCTCCTGTGACAGCCCATTCCCCTTTCCCCAGGAAACTGGATCCCAGGAGGGAATCCTCTAGTCATTGAACACTTGCTGTATCCCAGGCCTGGGCTAGGCCTTGTGGGAGACACAAGAGAAGAAAGCAATAACAGAGTCCCTGCCCACAAGCTGCCCATTGTCCAGTGAGGATATTGCACAGACCTGCGCCCCCCCAGAAAACCCCATGATACAGAGAGGATGGCAGACCTGAGACCCGGCCCAGGTGGCCCAGATTCTATCAGCAAATGTTTCCTGAGGGCCTGCAGGGAGCAGAGCTCGGGCCAGAGAGGAGTGGGGACAAGAGGGCCCCTGTGAGCTGATGCTGGGCACCAGGTCAGCTTTGCTCAGCTCCCCAATCCTCCAGGGCCAGGACTGCTGCTGACACGGGGCCCCCGAAGGATTCCCAGAGGCAGGACCCGCCTGAGAAGGTTGACCGAGCTGCAGATCTGGGGCGCCCCCACAGGGGCTACCTACGTGGGAATCCATATTGCTTTAGTAGCTTCTTTTTGGACAGGACTTTCATGGCCTGGGGATGAGAGAAACAGGGGGTTAGTGCCACGTCCTACCCAGGAACAAAAGCTGTTGCTTGGCATGCCCCACTTGTGGTCCAGCATCTCCCCAATTCCCCCCACACCCAGGGAGGGCTGCCCTGGACAGTCACAAGTGCGTCAGAACTTGAGTTTGAGTCAATGAAATGAGCCTTTGTTAAGCTCCTACTGTGTGCTAGGCACTGGGGATAAAACACCCAAACTGAAGCTGCCTCTGGCCTGCCCTGAGGGAGCTTCCATGGTACTGGGCCGAGAGGCTGAACCATGACCATCAGAAAGGTCCTTGGGCCTCCTTGCTGGAGGCTGACTAGAGGCAGCACTGAGTCAGGGTTCAGCAGTCCCCCAGGTCAAGGCCACTCCTAAATGTTTTCTCAGAAAAGCACATTTTTACCTGGTCCCAACACCACTTCATATGGCTACTATGAGGCCTGGAACATGATCGCCTCCGAAGAACTGAGGGGGCCATAGCCAGGGGGCAGTGCTGGGGGGCAGGGAGGGGGTGTGCGTGCAGGGTGGGGGCCAGCCATAAGCTACTGGAGCACAGGATGTCAGCAGGGATATTGTGATTGAAAAGGAAAGTGAGCTGGTCACCTAAGCAGGGAGAGGACTGACAGACAACACCTGGGGATGTTGGGCAGATGTGAGGGGTGGCTCCCAGCAGTGTGTGGGCCCCATGGGGTGCACTTCTAGGAGGGCAGGGATGGACAGCAATGTGCATCCATGGAGGGACACCCCCAGGTCTGCTGGAGTATTTGAGGAAGGCACCATGTAGCCCATCTTTAGAACTAACCCATCACCGCCCATTGTTGGGAGGCTGCATTCATGCCAGTGCACCAGAGAGGAAGCTGCCGTCTGAGCATGGAACAGGGCTGTGGCTGCAGATGAAGGGGCTGCGGGGCTCATGGTTGTGATGGGGGGCAGGGGGGTCCTCTGCCACGGAGCTGAGCTGGTCTAGACATTCAGAACTACAGAACCTTCAGCAGCAGGGCGGCCGGCTCTGATCTCAGTACCTTGGAGAGCAGCCTGGGGCAGAGCCACATGACTGTGGGTCCAGAGGAAAGCCTCTCCCCAGCCGAGCTGCCTCAGGCTAAGCAGGGAACACTCCATCCCAAAGCTGGGCCCCAGAGCCCGAGCTGGCAGGGCCCTGTGAGACACATCATCCGAACCCCAAGGGTCTAAGAGCCCTCATGGAAAACGTGGCCCAAGGGTGCGTCCAGCCGTAAGCAACCAGCCCAAGCTGCCACCACTGCCCCGGGGCACCTGCTAGCCATCATCCCAACATGCCCAGTTCCTTCAACTGAGATCTCAAGGCCCTTCTCTCTCCTAATCACCCTCATCTGGACACTCCCCGGATCATCAATGCCCTCCCTAAAACGTGACGGCCGGAACTGAGACCAGACGTCAGACGTGACCTGATGGGCAGTGGGCAGAGGGACCATCCCCTCCTCATTCCTGAAAACGCTCTCTCCATCCCTCCTTCTGTCTCTGTTTCTCTCCCCCTCTCTGTCTCTCTCTTCCTCCTGTCTCTGTCTCTCCCTCCCCCTCACTCATCGCAGCCAAAGGTCTCATGAGTGTGTGTGTTGGCATGCTCCCTTCTTGATCTCGTGGTCCACAAGAACTCTCCCTGTTTGAACTGCTGTCTGGTCACGCCTCTCTCTCTCTGCCAGCCCGTGCACTTGATATTGGCCATGAACACAAGTGGACCACAAAAGTGGCCTCTTTTCCAGGAGATCTCAGCATTCATCCCAAAGTGAGGGTGCTCACTCTTCTTATCACCCTCGGTTGACTCATAGCCCACAGGGCTGGTCTTGACCATGGATAGGTAAGGGAACTCACACAGGATGATTTCAGGGGTCCCTGTCCCCCAGACTCTCCAAATTCTGATAACCAGAGCAGAATGCTCCCCTCTTCCTCAGGGAGAGATCAGGTTTAAAGTGCCGCTTCCTACTCCCTGACCTCCCCTGAATGTGCTCATTTCTCACTGGGCTTCATGCCAGGTCTGTAGAATGGCACTACAGTGACCAACATGGGTCACCCTTGGTACAGATGGCCCAACCACTTGCCAAAAAACTGGGATTACCCACTGGATCAGCCTGCTGAGGATAGATGTGAAATCTCCTTTCTTGTCAGGAAGAAGCCAGGGCACCCAGATTGGGGACAGACACACAGCATGTGACTGGAGGCACCCGCCAAATCCACACCTGTCATTCTTTCACCAGGCCTTCTCTTGGGGACAAAGAATAAGGAGGAGGAGATGCATTCCAAGCCCCCCCATCACCTGTAGCCTTTAAATCCTACCCCCCATTTGTGCCCAGTCCTGAAAGGTTGCTTTGCCCCTTAGCTCACCTTCCTGCTCCCAGACGGCATTGGCCACTGCCCAGCTCAGGAGCCAAGAGGGGTGCCCATCACCCCCCAACACCCCCCAACACCTGCTCTTGGCTTGGAAGAGTTCCTAGCACAGTGCCTGGCACATGGGAGGCATTTTCTTTTCTAAATGATTATTCATTGTTTGAGCAAACCTTCCCTCCACAGGCCGGGCAAATTCTCTTTGCCAATCTTCACTGTGCCTGCCATCCTAGACTGGCAGTGATAGAGCCACCTGGTCCTGAGCATGGCAGCCCTGTTCCCCCAGATGTTTCCCTAGCCCAGGCCTCCTGGAGTCTTGTTTAGAGACAGCATATTTGCACAGCTCTTCCCTGAGAGGTCTGGGAGGGCATCACCTGGGCCGGGGCATGAGCGTGGTTTTCCCTTCCTGACCATCATAAATAATCTGGCAGGAAGTGTGTCCCAGGGCCCTCAGAGAGTGCCAGCCCAGGCTGTGCTAGTGGGGAATCCTCACATTGACAATCCCAAAAGGCGGTAGGGAAGAAGGCCGCTTGTCAGCTCTCATTGCCCCCTGGCGTGGAAGGGGCTGCCTCCAGAGGCCGAGGCCTCCAGGCAGAGGGGGATTCCTGCCAACGATGGTTGGACCAGATCCCTCCCACTCTGAGATCTCAGTCTCCAGGGGGGGTCTTCTGATGAGGGAGAACAAACAGCTCACACTTGGCCTCTGCTCTTGACATCTGGCCCACTGAATGCAAACACCTTGAGGTCAGCGACTGTTTCACTTGTATCAGCACCCAGAGCAGCACTCGGCACACAGTGGGTGCTTATCAATGCTTGTGGAATTGAATCAACTGCTTCAGAAAAGGCTGGAGAGAAGGAGCCCGAGGACCAGGGCCCAAGGACTCCGGAGGATGGAAGGCTGGAACACGGAAGCCCCGGCAGCTGACTTTCTGGAGGGCCTTGCCGGGGATCCCATGTCATTCCACAGATTTCTGTTCCCAGCCCAAGTTCCAGTGATACCTGAAGCTGTGGGAACTTGGCTTCCTGGGGTTTATCCATCGGGTCACACACTTAGAGCTGAGATCCCCTCAGAGGGCACTGAGTCCAATCCTCTCTTACAGAGGAAGCAACTTGCCTGGTGTGCCCCAGGCGGTACGCCCTTGAGGCAAGATTTGAACCCCCCTCTCCTGACTCCACCCTGGCAATAATGAAGATCCCCACCCCACCCCCATCCCCGAACACACTTACATAATACTTGTCATCAGACTCGTTGTAAGCCAGCCGCACCACACCGTAGGAGCCCTGCAGACACAGAAGGGACATAAGTCAGCTTCCTTTGTCCATGACCTCCTTGAATGGCTGGCAAGCACGGCTTCTGCATCCCCTTCCTTCCTGGTGCAATGCTGGGGGTCCTGGGCTGCTCAGCCTGCCCCCTCCCCTTTCTGCAGCCCAGCCCAGCCCAGCCCACCCCAGAGAGCAGGATGAAAGCAGAGCAGATCACGCTCAGCCTCAACAGTCTTCCAGCATTCACACGCACCTGTCTCCAGAGCCTCTCCAGCTGAGGCCCAGCCCCAGCGGCTGTGTGCCTGCCCCTCCCCATGCCTCCTCTTCCACAGGGAGGCCTCTCTCCCTGAGCCCCCACCCCCACCCCAGGATGGCCCCAGGCCTCCCTCAGCTGAGATCAGCCCACCATTGTTCAGGTGGATTCTGCCTGATTCAGAGGCTCACACGATGTAGGGCTGGAAAGGGCAGCAGAGTCAGGGCTAGACAGATACGCTGGGAACTTTCCAGCCCTAAATGGACCCCAGAGCGATCTAACCCACCCATGCCAACTCTCTCCTTTTACACCCACCGAGCACAGTGGAAAGAGGGCTAAATTGGGAGCCAGAAAGGCAAATGACTGACAGGTATTTATTAGGCACCAAGTAGATGCCAGGCACTAGGCGAGGCACTGTAGATACAGGAGCAAAAATGACAAAGCCTCTGGCAACATTCTATCAGGGAGACTCTGTGTGTGTGTGTGTGTGTGTGTGTGTGTGTGTGAATAAATACAATATAAACACAGTATAATGTACAATATAAACACAATATAAATTACAAAATAAATACAGAATAAATACAAAATAAACCCAAGGTAGTTTGGGGGAATCAGAAAAAGCCTCGTGTAGATGGCAGAGCTTGAACTGAATCTTGGAGGAAATCAGGGATTCTAAGGGATGGAGGCGAGGAAGGAAGGAAGGGAGGGAGGGAGGGAGAAAGGAAAGAAGGGAAGGAGA